TTAGACCCAGCTTCGGGCATAGAATGGCTGCGTGTAAAATCAAGCGGCCAGCAAGAACTTTTTTGTAGCATGAAAACCCTAAAGGCACCTAAAAAAGGCGATTCGTGAGGAATAGCGAGCATAACTCTGCGCCTTTTTACAGCTGGATGAAATGAAAATGCGGAGCATTGGCTGGCTTTACATTGTATTAGGTAATGTTTGAGTGTTTGCGGTACAAATAAAATAAATAAAGGTAAAAAGAACGAGACGAAATTTGGCGAAAGGAAGAAATCCAATAGAGGTACGGTTCGTTAAGAATAAAATTAAAAAAGAAAAAAAGTCGAAAATAATAAAAAAGTGAGAAAAAGGTCTGTTCAAAATCCGAAGTCAAGTGTCATTCATGTATATGCAAAAAAGCACGTGTTTTTTTTTTATGTGTTTTATGTAGTTAGCGGCGCTTCAAACAGCGAGATTCTTTCTCTCTTTGAATCAGAATCCTGACCGTGCAAGCCAGTGCGTTGGCTAAAACCGAGAACTATAGATAAGTCTCTATGTGGGTGCGTTAATTCATGAAATGGTGAAGGCGTTCAACAGCTCGCAGATATCGACTCTGCATCAGTATGGTGATGAACTCTGAGCTTCGAACTGATCAAACGTAGTTCCACAGTCGTTTTTATGGTATAAAAATACAACGGCTACACTAGCTTACCGTTGGGCGGTCTGCAAAACTGGGCAAGAAAAATAACCACTTAGGTTTGATTGTTGGGCTGTGTTTGTTTATTTCTCGAATCGATATCTTTAAGATCGAACACTTATCGGTTTCACATGCACGAATGCTCACATATTAACCAGTAATATGTTATTAAATTTTAATGTTATTTGAAGGAAATCACTGAGCTTCAGGGATTTCTATGCTGAAAATGGGGCTCGAGACCGTGTAGTTATGTCTGTGGCAAATCAGCTACAAAGAGACTAAGGCAGTTAATTTTATTAGTTTCTGTTTATATAACAGACACATTTTTTTTTTTTTTTTTTTTTATTAACAAGAAGCTAACGTGTAAATCCCATTCGCGAGCGCCAAGCCTCTGTTTCATATATTTATTATGGTACTACTTAAGGCTTGCTTTAATACAATCTAGACTTGGGAGAATAAGATCTACAGTTAGCATACCTATTATTGTACTGTATTTTTTACTATAGTAGTAAGTGAAATGTAAACCCCATATTTCATTTACTATTTTAGTGGTAAATAAAAAATGGCCTTTTGCGTTGCTTATGCATGTGCGTTCACGTCACGTCTCAGGTGGCTTGGGTGACTGGTGAACCTATTTATATTCAGGACAAAAACGTGACAAATGCAAAAGAAAAATTGTGCGATGCGTAAATAGACCGCCTGCACGCCCGTAAAATCTGTATAAGTGTGGCAGAAACGGAAAAACGTATTTAACATCGTTGGGGTTTCGAAATGTTACGTGCCGACTTTACCGGTATGAAAAGTGAGGCTCATAGAAGCTGTTCTGGAAAAAGCAGTGGCTGACTACATATTTTGCCGTCAGCTTTTTACCAGATGTATTCATACAAGAGATTAACTATAGCTAGGTATAAGCACACTGCATTGAGCCGCCTCAGGTAAGCACAAAAATGAAGCAAAGCTTATGCATTTTAAAGTGTCTTAATTCATATATAAGGTGAAGAACTGTATTAAAAACATAATAAAGTAAAAGCAAACATAAAAACATGAAGCACTGCAGGTGCTTATAGGTTGCAACCTACAAAGCGACAGTGACCTTATAAATTTAAAAATACGGTCTCGCATTAGGTTTTATAAGCTATATGAACTATCTGTTTCTTTCACAGCATTAGATACCCCATGATTAAAGTTTGATTGTAAAAACAACCTGGGGACACAGCAACACCATTCTGCCAATTGGTAACCCCTAAAGAAGCTGCAACCGTTTTAAATGTATGGATCACATTGGCCCTGCTTTTGAAAAGACTTTTTTAGCTAATGAAGAGACGAGTGTATTTGCTAGCATGGCAAATATATGCGAATATAGACGAACACTTGCCGTCTTAAAGCTTCGCACCTTTCAAAGTGAACTCGGAACGTTCTATTCTCTGTTCACCGCTCTGTTTGATGTCACCGATTCACATCGTAATGCTGCTGGACCGGCCACTATTTTATATCTCGTCTAACTAAATCCCGCTATCCATTAAACAACCCCAACTACCCCCTAAACGGTACTGGTACCCATGGTAAACTTTTATCCACATTAACAACATATGCCTGCCGGCTTCTCGCCAAGAAGAAAAATCTAGAAAGTGACGCTTATTTTATAAAACTCCCATTCCCTGCCCCAACCTTCACTGCCCTCAGGGAGACAACCCCCATTAGAATCGCATAACCCAGCTCACAACCGACCATTTCCCTAATAGCCAACTTTCGCTGGGGCTGGATCCATTTTCGGCTCTTCTCACGAACGATTATGGCGTGGGGGGGGGGGGAGAGCGGGCTACTGTACAAGCTTCGAACGCCACCACACGGCCGGCGCCATCGCCGCTGTCATGAACGAGTTTGCATGGTAGTTTTATAACGTCCCAGACATCTCCTTTGGTTTCAGACGTAGAAAAGCCCCTCGTGTTCAGGTCTGGCTGGCGGAGAAAGTAGATGCTAGCCTGTGGAAGTGGTATTTTAAGAGCAATGCTTAGCAGACGACGGATTGCGGCGGCGGACTCCCGCCCGTGTGGGAATTTACGTCCACTCGAGTCCTCCAAGGCGTGAGAGCTATGGTCGTGTGCCAACAAACGAGGATCACGTTAGACGCCTTCTGGGACCAACAGCGTCCGTAGTAGGAGCGACAGCACAGTAAAATTCGCAGCAGTCGAGGGCAAACACTATGAGCAAAGCAGTGTGCGACATAGTAAATACGCTATGCCACTGTTTAACTGCCCTCCGTACGCTGATCGGGGGCGGGTTTATTCACTATTTTGAGCGATGGCTATAGGCTCACAGGCGGTGTCGGTAGTGACAACCGCATTTCGTCTTCTACTGCTTAACTCAAATAGGCTGTAACATATAAAGAGCGAGCGAACAACGAAAAAAAGACCGATGGGGAACCTACTTGGAAAAACAAAGAAAGGTTCTTCCATCACACGAAGCGCGCGCTGCTCTACACTTTCCTCTTGAGTTTATAGTGGTAGTGGCAACAAGCAGATCCGTTCGACCAATCTATGCGGTCTATGCATATAATGTGCTTGGACGGCTCGACGTCAATTGTATCACGTGGGAGCGGACGATTACTGATTGCGGAGCTTCACGTCAACCATCGCGCGTGTAAGCTGTGACTCGATGTTGTTAGAACTCGCGCTATGCGAAAAAGATCGTTGAGACAAAGGAAAGACCGAAGGCGCGCCGGTGAGCCCGACGGCCACTTAGTTATAGCAGGCGGAAAGTGGGTAGAAAAGGCTGAGGAAGGAGACACGACAACTCTCTTTCTCCTTTTGTAATTTTGGTCCTTCCTTCTCGTCGTCCATATTCAGCCCGAGCGATGGCGGCAATGACACGAGCAATATATCGGTTTCACATCGCGATTTCGGCGAAGCGCCGGATTACTTTACGATAAAAGTTTTAAAAGTGCGTTACTTATTTTCGTGTATATGCGATGTGCTGAATGTCTTGCCGTGAGGAGTTCTGCAGGACCATTGACGCAGTTTAATTGCACTATTAGCTTTTACGTGCTACGAAACGAGGGTGAGATGGTATGATTCGCATCATTTATTTTATTTCTATTTGTGTAGGAGTTACGATGTCGAATTAGCGCAGGAGGCTACGCAAGAGCTCCCGGACATGAACGGTGATGTGAGTTAGGCCTAAATTAAATCGTCCTTAATCAGGTTCGGCTATCTCCTGATAGAACAAATTGGTTCTTATACAACTGCATAGTGAGATCGTTACAGGTATAACATTGAACATGTTGAATGTTGGTACATGGTGCTATACACTTCCAACGATCCCAAGATTTAGTCTCAAATCCGATCATTGTAATAATAATGTGAGCGGAATCCTGCGCTCTCCATATAGATTACACTGGAACGAACCTGAAAAAGGCCAAATAGTTACTTGTGTCCTGGAGAACGATTCACGTAATCCTCATTTAGTCGCTACTATGACCTCACTTGGTTCTTAATCGGCAGCTTTCCTGTGATGGGCGCGCCATAAAGACAAAACACTTGATTCCTCTTCTGTCAACGATGTGTCTTTCTTCCAAGAAGTGAACTTCATCTGGGATTCCAGAAGGCTGAAGAGGATTCTGCTAAGCGAAGCGTCTCGAACGATTGAAATAAGCGATCAGAGCGGTATAACAAGATAACGAAAACTCTTAGTGCCGGATGCTTCGACAAAGAAAGAAGGCTATCAATTTTATTAAGCCTTAATTGAATGTAAGTATTTGATACGAACTACAAAAAAATGGCATTGAATAGATAAAGTCGACTTTGAATTAATTTATTCAATACACGTTATAAATATGTAGGTAATTTCGCTTTCGTTAATAATAAAAACCAAGATCCTGATGAAATTCATGTAACTCTATTGGACAAGAGAATATCGGCACGAAAACTTGTTTCGTTGCGACAAGTTTCTGTTCAAGTTTGGCTGTTCATTGCAACATATACTAGAACCAGCTTAAACTCACAGTTCATCATACCTAACAACTTGAAGTTTGCTTCACATGATGCGAACACATCTTCAATCGTACTCGAGCGTATGTTTGCTATCGATATGGAACATCTTTTCCATTTACCTTTGAGTCTCTACCGACTCAATTTTCCTAAAGTAACGCCATGTATCAGTCTTTCTGTGTTGCGGTATTTTGTTTATCCCACATAGTCCACTCTTCTACTATATGCACAGTAATAACGTTCCCAAGCAAGTTTGCATGAACTGAGGAAATTGAAGGCCGAATAATGCACGTACATATTTCGTTATAGCAGGCACACTAGGCTCTCTCTGCCTTTCTGCTCTTCTCTAGTGTCATTTATAGGCACAAACCTTTGTATTGTCTCCACGTCGCGTGCTTGCCGTTGTTATCGTTGCTATTGTATAGAACGAGACGGTTGGCAACGACTATCCGTCCTCAAACAGGCGCAGTGGTCTGCAAAGTTTCAACTTGTTAATATGACTGCTATATTATGTTCTCTTTACTTAACCCTTTTCTTTTCCCTTTCACTTACTCGTATTGCTAATGCTATCCTGATCCCATCAAACCAACCTATTTTCTATATTCTCAAAGGCTTTATTACGTGGTGCTACCCTTTTCCTTTAACCCCCCAACATCGATCATTACCCTTGTACCCGGTTTCAGCAGACTCTGCATTGACACAGGTTGTCTTTGCTGTACGACGTCGAAGATACGTATGTACCATGTACGTCGTATGCATGAGTATTCAGAGGTTACACGTCCTATTTCCAAAACCTTTTCAAGCGAGCCGATGGTATGCATGTAGGTTGGCTTATGCTTTCAGTCATGGCCCTTTGACTACCTGTAACAACATTCGCGAGAGTTCCTTTGCGGACGGTTAGTACCGTTAGAGCAATACTATACTCGATAAGCACAGGGAGTTTGTCTGTACTCGAAGGCAATTCGCACTGTCGCATCTCGAAAAGCAGTGATACACTGTATTCGGTAACCTGCGTCTAGCTATACATTCTTTCTTGTTGTCAATACTACTGACTGTTTTTACACTTGCTACGTCTTTCAAGAGCTCGTTACTGGGGGGCGGGCGGGCGGGTGGCAGAGGGGGAGGAACAAGCTACAGAAGGAATGATGACGCAGTAGGAGCGCTTCGGCGTCCTACTTTACATAGCCGATTTTGAATGCAATGACGATCAGAGTGCACGACCAACCGCTTGCCCAGTTGCTTTTTCGAGGCATATCTAAGCAGTATCGCTTCTGATTCGTGTTTAGCAGGCCTGAAATCCTATCAAGCATATTTCAGAGTTTAAGGTCGACGATCGTTCGAGCACGTGTGGATTTCCTGCGTTCCCGGTGTTCGTTAATTACCCTGCCGCAAAGCCAATCGAAGCACCCCTTGGTAGTCTGCTTACGTAGACAAAGGTTCGAAATAAGAGCGTATAGTGTGATATAGCGCAAATTCGAAAGCGCAATTCAGCTCGAAACAGCCATTTATGATTTACTTCTCTGTCATCGACGTGTTCTCCACCGCGACATTTGGTTTCCAAGGTCTCGATAGTTTAGGCGCAATAAATTAGAAGCTGTAAAACAGAGAGCTTCAAGTACTGTGTGAAGACATCTGACAACATTGGACCTTTAACTTCCGGCCATAGCTTGTCCATAGGTTGATAGCGGCAAGGTCTGAGTAGCTAATGCGCTTTTAGTGGCCTTGTTATAGCAAATATCAACATGCGACCATCGCTGCTTTAAATATTGGCATTGTCAGATGATTACTATGGCATACTTTTACCATGCCATTTTATAGGTCTACTGAAGGAAACACAGATAAGGCCAACAGGGCCGTCTGGAGTAACGCTTAAAACTTTACGTAAACGGCAAAACATTTTTTCTGAACGCTAGCAAATTGAATAGATCCTAAAAATAAACCCTAAAACGAAAATTGAGCTACTTAAAGCGGACGGTTACTGAAATCGCACTTACAATGATAACCCCCAGTCGAGATTAATCACGGTAATCGTTGAAAAAAAGGACAGCGGTATAGGACTGGACGAAACAAACCATTTCGGCGTTCATTTTCATTCGATCTTCATAACTGTTAAGCGGCCCTAATAAAGCACGGCATTGGCAACTGAAAGCAACCGCATCTACTACACTATTTCTACTTTGGACAGAGAGTCTCAAACGCCTCTACATTTCAAAGATACACGCGCGACCTCTGAAAAATCGATTACCATCCCAGCTAGAGAACTCTGAGAGAGATTGTTATGATTAAGGACCTCAAAATGACCTGTGATCGCACGCAAGCCGTTGTACGGTGATAGTCTGGTAGCATCACTCCGTTTCGAACCGAGCAGTTGCAGTAATATATTTAATTTTATTATTTAGTTGTCTCTTTATTAAATCACACTTTTCTTTTTGGCTGCATATAATGTTAAGTATCATCCGGAGCCGCTGGTTCCGGAAAGAGAGCGAAATAAGTAGGAAGAAGAGGCATGTATCAAAAAGTATGTCCTACATATCACGAACTTTTCTGAGCTCCTTAGAGCGGAAGCAATTGACTATCTCGGTAGGCACTAGGACGTCATCTCAGGTTGTACTGTTATCATCCTAACTGATGTTAAAGCCGTATATAAATAAATATTCACTGATTGGGCTGGGGACTACTTTATGCGGGCTTTCTGGTGATCGGAACGAGAGAAGGGTGTCTGATATACGTTTTATGTAATCGTTCCTAATTGTATACGGTATATATATATATATATATTTAGGCCATATGTTCGCGTATACGTACTACTTAGTATATCGATATGAGTATGCCACATGATAGTGCTGGCCGATTTTTACTTCACCGCCTTTTAAGGTTTAATGGACTGTATGATTAACAACTCACGTCTAGCCAAGCATATGCCGTTTAAATGTTTTATCTAATTCTTTCGACCTTAAAATCTAGCTTAATAAAAATGTATTTAAACGATTTTGGTTCCATGCGAATAGTTAAGTTCACAGTTTACCTGGAGGCCATATTGAGCATGCTCTATGTCTGTGACGTGGTTATGAAGCTTGGTTAAGTGAAGCATCTCTTGGTTCGGGTACTAAGCCTCCCTAGAATGTACGCTCTTTCGAACATACTAAGGCTCAAAGGCCAAAACCTAAAAAACAGGAAGAGGCAAACGAGCAGAAAATATATATAAGGTAAAATTCAATAATAATAATAGTGATAATAGAAGGGCAATAGCAAAATGTAATACTTACGCTTCATAGCTTAGCAGACTATGTGTGCTTGCCAAATCGAAAAGTATCAGCCGCATGTCAAGCCGACACGAACCTGATGACGACTATTCGTTACCTTACGAAAACCTTGTAATCTACAAGTACGCTTCGGTTACCCACTACAGAAAATATCATTACTTGGAACGTAAAAAACGCATTCGAGAAAACGTTTCTAATAGTTTTTTTACCCCTTGCAGCTTCCTTCTGACTGCGTTTTGTTAATTTGATGAAGGGTGACAATATTAGTCTTTCATTGAAACGAAAAACTCGTTAAGCGTCACGCTAGTTTGAAGATGGCGCATACAGTCAACGAGACAACCATCTAGCGAAGATAGTCATGATGACATTCGGTGACGTCTTCAGTTGCTTTCGTTGAAGATGTGTTCAAGCAAAAAGAATATGCATCACATCGTTCGTGTGATTCGTCGGCGAAGCCAACGAGCTTAGGCCATGGAGGAAAAATAGCTTCAAAACCATTCTTTCAGTTAATTTAACAACTATATATATATATA